AGTGAATGTTTCTAAGTCATATTTCCTGGGTATTCAAATCAAGCGTTCAGGTCAAAAACCGTCCTAATTGCAACAGGAACATTTTTGGGAGGAGAAATCTTCCTAGGAAAAGACAGGTGGCCTGCTGGAAGGATCGGTGAAAAGGTGCATACCAGAGACATCCACATTGTGACTGACAAATTGTGAGTAAATTTATAATACCAGATGAGTTTCAGAGCGCGACGGGACTGTCACAATCTTTTAAAGAGTTAGGATTTCGCCTTGCACGTCTTCGAACTGGAACTCCACCTCGCCTGTTGAAGGTTGCCTTTCCTTATAAACTTTCTTACTTGCTTGAAAATTTGCTTAATTGGCATACTTTGTTCTCCTTCTAGTCCTTAACGGAATTGTTGATTTAGAACTCCATTCGATTTCTCACAATTTGAATTAATGCCGCCGGATAGTGTGCCAGTACCTTTTTCTTTCATGACGGATCAGGTTTGGCTGCCTCCCGACAAACAGGTGGATCTTTTTGTTGTTGTAGTTGGTAGGCCAGACGCATCTTATACCTGAAGTATTGGTTTTAGCTACCCACATATATTGGCTATACTAACGACCGTGTGCGGGAAATTGTTGAAGAGAATCTGGCAGACAACGAACACGTCAAAGCTGAAGCGAGTGGACCTCGTTATTGCCCATCACTGGAGTCCAAAGTTATCCGTTTTCCGCAACTTCATCACAGAGTTAGTGACTTCGCAGGTTTAACATAGCAGTGTTCTCATAATTGTGAATTAAGCTGCTTAAATTCTTCTTATCTGATTTTAATGATACTTTCACATCTCGTACACTGAAATGCGCTCCGCGATGAATGTGCGTGGATTAATCTGTTACTTCATGAAACTAAGTCCCAAAAGCAGTAGGGCTTTATCATTATCACCGGCACTAGTGCTTGTGCGCAGTGATCCATGCTCCGGGTTGTCTGCGTCTCACTTGTCCGGCATACTCTCTCGTGCTCTCTTTCTCTTGAGCGCCTGTAACTATCAGTCTGAGATTAGGACGGTTTTTGACCTAAACGCTTGATTTGAATACTCTGGAAATATGACTTAGAAACAATCACTTACTCAAGCTTTCGGCCATCCTCCAGCACTACACCAGTGACTCGTCTATCGCTACCATTTTCAACGGTTAGCATCTGGACACCGCCTTCAATAATTTCAAGATTCTTTGTACTGGAAATTTCCTATAAGAATAAATGGCTAGTTTAATCGAAAACTTCACAAAATGGATCATCTAAACAAAGAATTCACGGTGATCGTACCTCTTGCATGTGAGTTTTGTAAAGGGAGCGATCGATTTGTGCACGGAGGCCGAGGACAGCAGGGCCTTGCCCGGAATTTAACGCTGAACCAGCAATGATGTAATCTTGCAAACAAGTAAACTTAAGGTGGCAACGATACCTTGGTATGTGATGGCAGACTTATCACAGATGCGACCGCATAAACCATCCAATGCATCAACTTCCCGAATCAGATGACCTTAACAATCTTTCTTGAATGCAGCAAATATTCTGAGCAGGATCAAGATTCATCCAGCTGACAAAGCCTTACTCAACTATTGCGACTCAGAAAGCGAAGAAATATTGTCGCTAAGTGGCTTTTCTATGTCTAAAGTCGTGGAAAACTGTTAATGTGGAGTATACATAGCCATGGCCACGAATGTAGCGTTTGCACGAGAATGAGTATTCCGTACCCTTTTGGGGTGTAGGATGACCCGTTTATCGGCTTTAGTGAATTTTGTGGGAGAAGTGGCAGCGTTAAAGGAACAGGTAGGTTATCTAACATCACTTGAAGGGCTTACCAAAAAAGTGATGAATATGTTGGTGTTGCAATATTTGAGTGCTTCAACATAATAGAGTATGAGGCAGAAAGCGCCGCCCTCGGGCCACTGCAGTTCCTGCCCAACTGCGTCGAGATGATGCTGCGCGGCGCCAAACTGGCTAAAGCTCATCGCTTCTTTGCATTAACACGTACACGTGCTGCCATGGGTCTTGGGCTGGCTAGAATTGGAGTGAATTTTTCGCTTTGCGGAATCGCGAAATCTTCCCTTGCGAGAGTCCCAGGTCCACTTATGACCAGGAACTTTACTTGGGCTCCTGCAGCGAAAAGTTCCGCTCTGCGCAAGGCGAAAAGTCGCTTCTTTCAGCGACCCACCTAATACAGAAGAGAAACATCTGCACAACATTTACACAGGAATAAGTGCACGTGATGCATATCAAGGGCGGAAAATTCAACAGCGGAATAAGGCGCGACATTTGAACTTCGAGTGATGCGACGTCGCGCGGTGACTTCCTACTACGCACACAATAATAAGCAAATATTTGCAGTATAAACTACCTTTTCCGATTCCGCCAAAACTCGGATTGCAGCTCATCTCTCCAATCGTGTTTTTATTATGTGTAAGAAGTACTGTTCGTGCGCCGCATCTCGCTGCCGCAGCGGCTCCTTCACAACCAGCATGACCTCCGCCTAAAAAGAGGAAGCAGTTTGGAGTCTGGAAATACTCCGCATGACGCTGACAGTCCTCTAAGCTCGCAAGAGCAGTTGCTGAGCATCACTTCTCGGATAGGTCAAGCATTTTCGAATTTTGGCAGAATTCGACTGCGAACATGCAATCCTTATTGTCTTGGAGGAACACCGTTGGCTTGACGTAGTGCATCAGAATAGCATGCTTGTTCAATGACAAACTTATATTTCCGTGCAAACAAAACGTGAAATTTTCCAAACAGCACAGCGCTGTCGAAGAGTTCAAGAATTACTGAAGGAGTAATGCTTAATTCTGACATTTTTGACTGCAACAGGGCTCGTAAATGAAAATACCAACTGTTTGCTACTTCACACAGGATTTATGGAATTCAACTGCCAGTTTGAAACCCCACCTTGAAGAACCCTTTCAAATACGTCTGAATTAAGGCTTACCTATAACAATGACGTCAATCCCGCTCGTGGAACATAGTAGACGATAGCTGTGCTCGATGTTCCAACGTCCTAGCGAATTTCGCACAATGAGCATCTACTTCGAACCAACGCAGGACGGGGATCGGAGGTATTCACCGAGATGCTCGCCTCTTTGAAAAAATTTCCCGCGCGCGCTCGTTCAAACAAGTGTCGCACTGGGGCGAGCTTTCTCTCAGCTACATAAATGGTGTTAGGTGACTACAGCAATTCTGAAGAAGAAAGACTGGTAGAGGACAGATGAGAATCACAATGGGCGACAAACTTTCCCAAATGGAGATTCCTGTGGAGTTATTGTTCGTAGTTGTTGTTAGGTATGTCTTCTTTCAACTGCAAACACACGGGAAGTGTGGTTTTTTGAAATAGAGATAACTGAGGCCGACGAGCTCTCATTAATCTCAGTCGTCTCAATCTGCCATTGAATATGGACGCCTTTCATAGGAATTCGGATAATGAGCGGTGTCAAACATCCACGTTTTCGTTGCAGTCACAAAGTTTCGATGGTTTATTATCGAAGTTTCCATATCATTAACACTTTTACCTTAGCTTGCCGAGTTAAAAGGATCTCGGACTTATAAGATGCATTGAAAAACTCCGTCTGGACTTTGGCGCAATGTATCTCGGGGAAGGGGATGCAGTCTGAAGTAAGCCTCAAATACCAAGGCGGAGATGGTGAAATTCAAAGAGAATGTGAACTGTTTGAGCATTTCGGATCCCTCTTTTCCTTTAGGCTTAGTTCTATACTGAGCGTTTCCGTAACTCTGTCGTATGTCGCGTGCACCCTCCACCGCGAGCCACACACGTTTGCCGTTGAGGATGAGGAACTACATATATTAGTAAAATCCCTCATGTTTTTGGCAAACTGGTGATGTTGCCCTGCCTTCGAGGGTAACTGAGCTTTCACTTCTACTAGAACTGGTGGTGAGGAAAAATGTACTCGAAACGACTTTGCGCATCATACCGACTTCGCCTGAGCAGGTAACTGAAAACCCATTGGTGGATTCTCATTTGGCGCATTTAATGGCAACCTTCGCCTGATTCTTACCAGTAGACATTATCAAAGTTCAAAAAGAGTCGGAATCACGAAAAGATGCATAATTCCCATACTTCGAAATCATCGCAGTGCTGTCCAAAGACATTTCTTACCACACTCATGCCTACCACCACACTCCCTTGTTATCATTCCTTCCTCTCCTTTAGGCAATATTAACTCTTACCTGCGGTCATACCACTAATACCTACTCAAAATCTGAAAAAAGCGCCGAAATGGCGCTAATGTTCCCAGCCGTGTAACTGATGTGAGTGGAAGTTCGCCCCAGCGCGACATCTATTTGAACGAGCGCGCGCGGGAAATTTTTTCAAAGAGGCGAGCATCTCGGTGTATACCTCCGATCAACGCAGATTACAAAGACCACGAAGCAGCACGACATGTCGTAAATTACGACGGTTTTTCCGCATTGCAGAACAAACGCGAAATTGACGCCTTTTCCGAATGACAAGCTCTTACATATTAAGGACATGTTTGTTTGCGTTTATGGTATCACTAATGATCATTGCACACCTGTGCCCACAACATGCAACATTGTCTGGGTGAGAGGTAATTCCGGCGCCTAACGAAAAATGACATTCACTTTTTGGCAGGTGGTGCCATTGAGCGCAGGTTTGCAGTCATGTTTTCACCAAAATTCGATGTAAAGTTCTGTATAGGGGTTATTTGATGTCCTGATTACGAATATGACATTCGTTTTTGACATTACCGCTGTTTACCGCATACTTCCCGCTTTTCTGGGCTCTCTCACCTATACATAGCGCCTTGGGGCAGGGTCAACCCTATCGTTGTTACTTATTCGAAAATTTTTTACGACCCCCCTCCCCCAAGGTGGATTTGGTACGACCCCCCTTCCGACACCTCGATCCACCCTCTACTCGCACAACCTACTACCCACGAAATCTTAGTTTCTCCTCAATCCCACCCCTGATTTCGAGCAACTAAAGTGAGTACGACCCCCCCTCCTACAAACTCAACCAGGTACGACCCCCCCGTTGTTACTCGTAACAACGTAGGGTTGACCCTGCTGGGGCCCTACAGCTTTAGGTGATAGGGCAGACCGGAATGGATGCTGAATAAGGCCCATGTGACAAAGATGGGAGCGTGTGAGATCACAGGGTAGGGGGCTCACCCTCGAATCTTTCCTCTCTCCTAAAGCTTAGTCCTGATCGCGATCTAGTCACTAGGAGGGCGCAGACGAAGAGATTAAAGCGCTAAATGGAGCTAGCGCCAAGAATGAATGTCATATTCGTAATCTGGACACCAAATTACCCCTACCCAGAAGTTTACATCGAGTTTGGTGAAAACAACTGTCGTGACAAGGTGACGCCACCTGGCGCCAGATGGCGCCCCCGTTGAAAATGAATGTCATTTTCGTAATCAGGGCACCGAATTACCCCTATAGACAAAGTTTCGACGAAAAATAAAATTTTGAGATTTTGGGGTTGTAATAGTTGAATAGTGCCGCTAAAGGTAATATTCTCCAGTGGAGAAACAATCTTCACAGGAAAGGACAAAATCTATCGTTGTAACGAGAGGTGTGACTTTACTAAAGGTAGGGGAAGGTGATGTAACCATAAGCTGCAAAAACGTGTCCTGGATAGAATGCCCACGATCGTGTAGTTAATCATAAATTTAGAGTTTATTCTAGTTACTGAGTTCAACCCTGCCCTCACCTTATTGAGGTAGAGAGTCATTTCCTCTCTATCCACCGATTTCCCTTTTATTGGTACAGATAAAGTTACGGCTGAATAGCTTTCTGTGAGCCTTTCCATTTCTAGCTGTCTAGCGCAACAGAGCCAGGATACTGTACCATCGTGAAGTCCGCTCAGCGCCCCGTTTTTCGATAGAAATTTGCCCGCTGAGGGACAGAATTTCACAGTATAAGGTGAAAAAATATCACTTTCGGCTAATGTTCTGGACACAGCTGTACCAAACACTTGTCAAGACGTACCCTACGTGTCATCAAAGAATGACCCACCGACTTGCGCGTGCAGGTCTACCGCGCGGATGTCGCACCTATTATTGCAGATTCAAATTCGCGCGCGGTTCAAATAGCGGACAACGGTGGCTTGTTTATGGCTATCGTAGCAGCTCGCGGCGCCGCTACTTGATATTTCCGTGACGCGTACGTCAGCGCGTGCGAACTTCGCGCTACTGTAGTCATCGCACTGTGACTTCGCGCGCGCGGCGCCACTTGCAAACTGTCCCCATCGCGCGAAATTTGCCTTCTGTTGATTTTTCACAGTGCTGAAGACAAGATCGTTTTAATGGTAAATATTTATAACTCTTCCAATCACGGAACGCTGTCATATCTATATGACATTTTTTTTTATCTTAAATGCTTATTCAACAGCCAAATAAATAAAATGGAAGATGGAGATGGTGTGGGTGAACCAACCCACGCAGCAACAAGCACTGGGATGCATTTAATACGTGGCACGCGCGAGATGTGCTCCTGGAGGCGTAGAGGAGGCCAGTCACGCGCCGCCGCTGCGCGCGGAAAGCCTGTGTCTCTACGCGGCGTCGCACAGCGTGACCCTCCTAACGGACCTTGAACATTACATCGCAACATTCTTTTGGAACTATTATACTTTCATAAAAGAATTAACACGGCAATATTTCTAAGCGTTGAACTAATTTATTAAAAGAATATACCGTAATTAATTTCCACATATTTGACTGTGATTTCTTTAAGAGGCACAATGAATCCCGTGATATAAATAAAGCACATAATAGATTTAGGATGTTCACACGAAAGTAGTAGACAGAAAGAACCGCACAAACCCATAGGTAAGTAAAGCAAATTCCCAAGAAATAACACGGCGAACAAGTAATATTGTAAGTAAATTTGAGAGCTCAGTGAATTGCAGTGCTTGAATGAGACTTATGAGAACGTTCTGGCATAACAAACTTCAACAGAAAAGTCAACTATTGAATAGAATCTAAGGATTAATGAAAGACACAAGGATGTATCGCGTTCCTTTGATCGTTGGAAGGCCTTCGTGTAAATGCGTCAATCGGCCAGGGAACATCATCGCCCAGCCTAAATAAATTCCTTTGAATTTCAGAAGATTTTCTCGGAATTGTTCTGTCTTATAAGTGAGAGATATCCAATAAGAAGCTATTAAGCAAAAATATGGCTTATTGTTTGGAAACTCAAAGGCACATTCCACGCTAAAATGGATATGGTTATTGAGCTTAGAAATGTAAAGGCAAAAGTCGGGCTCATTAAGGGGTATTATGGCAA